TGAGATCTCTCACCAGCAGCATGTCTTCACCTGAGACCCCCCAGCCTACCTGTCTTTGTGAACCCAGCCCTGCATACGGTGGGGCAATAAATGCATCTCTCTGGGGCTGACCAAAGGCTTGGGGGGGACTCTGGGTCCACAGATGCTCTCTCAGAGCTGTGCCCTGGGAAGGGAGGAGCAGAGCCCCAGAGCCTGAGTGGGTCAGCAGGATGGGGGGGGGTCCCCTGGCACCCTGTGTCTCCCACAGCCACGTGTCTGCACACAGCAGCCCAGAAAGTCCTTCCCCTTCTCCCTCAACCCCCAGGGGGTTATTTTCAGTGCAGTGCCAATTTGGGATGGGGTGGTTCTGCGAGGACCCTCAGACAGGACCCTGCCACCCTTCTGCCTGTCTTGGTTGTACAGAACCTGTCGCGCAGCATCTCTGGTAGCTTCCAAACCATTTGTGGTATTTTGGAAGCTGATTCATTTGTGTGGCCTCAGAGAAGCAAAAATATCAGAGGAAACTAAATTTCTGTTGGAGTGAAGGCCATGTGCTCCTGAGCAGGGAGCTGCTCCCAGTTGCCTGCTGGCAATTGCTGATGCTGAACTGGGAGGTGAGATGCTCATCCCTGGTGCTGGCCGTGGGCAGTGTGTCCAAAAGCCACAGTTCATGGGTGTCACAGTAAAAAGGAGCCACCCAGCTTAGCTGGAAGTCCAAAACTTTAAGAATGCAATAAATAACAGATCAGAGCTTTGTTGAGATGTTTTAAGTGACTGATTTCTTAGCAGGAGAGCCAGTGGGGCAAGAGTTTGCCTTTAATAAGGAGACCTGGGGGGAGCTGGGGCAGAGCCCCACGGAGGTGACTCGTGCCCAGGGCAGCACATGTTGCTGTGCCCCAACTGCTTTTACCTATCGAGGTGCAAAGAGTTTGATCTCAGTTATTTATAGGAGCTGCTATAAATGTGCCAGGCTGGGAGCAGAGGGGTTGATCCCCCCCCAGCGCCTGGGGGGGCTGGTCTCACCCTGAGCTGCTTCACTCAGGGTGGTGGGATCCAGCTCTCTACCCCACACTGTGTCCCCTGTGCGTACTGGTGTGGGAACTGGGGTTACTGGAGGAGAGGGGGGCTAGGCTGAGCTCCCCCCCCTTGCATTTGGCTCTTGGCTTCCTCTCTTTTGGGAAGCAGGTCAAGCAGAGATGCTGATGGCCCCAGGGCTGTGGACTGTGGGAGGTGGACATAAACTGATCCTGCTCCCTGGGGGTCATCTCTGGGTGGCCACAAAGGGGTCAGAGTAGGACCAGGTGCTGCAGAAGACCCCAAAAAGCCACAAAGCATTTCCATACCCATGACAAGGACCCCTTGGAGGACCCTTTGCCAAGCCCCAGGATCTCCCCACGTGGCTGCAAGCCCCACGCCTGGCACTGCCAGGGGCTGCTCCATCAGCAGCTGGGTCAGGGCACAACGGCTGCAGCCCAGCGAGAGGAAGGTCCTGCCTGGCCAGGCTCTGCTCCTGCTGGGGGAGGAATGAGCAGAGTCATGGGGCTGCAGAAACCCGAGCCGAGCCCTGACGGCTGGTGGCAGCTGGAGGCTCAGCCCCCCCTGACAGCCCTGCAGCCAGTGGGCACAGGGCACTGCCGGGGGCTTGGAGGGGCAGCACCCAGCGGGAGGCTCCAGGGAAGACGTGGACCATGCAGCACCCCATGACCTGAAGCTCTGGAGAGCAATGTGCTGATGAAGAGGCTGGAGCCCTGCGGAGCGCTGGCACGGCCCCTAATTCAGCCTTGCCCTAACAGCTCTGTAGCCCCCTATTTCCAGGGAAATTAATGAAAACGTTCTATGTTTTGGGTGGGAAAGGAGCTTTCAAGGTCACCTAGTGCAAACCCCCTGCAGGGACAGGGACATCCCCAGCTAGAGCAGGGTGCTCAGAGCCCCGGCCAACCTCCCCTGGGATGGTGCCAGGGATGGGGCAGCGACCACCTCTCTGGGCAGCCTGGGACAGGGGCTCAGCACCCTCAGGAGGAAATAAATTCTTCCCTAAACTCCCTTCTTTTAGTTTAAACCCATCCCCCCTTGTCCTGTCCCAACAGGCCCTGCTCAAAAGTCTGTCCCCAAATTTCTGATGAAGTCCTGAG